CCATTATAATTAGCTTGAGTGCGTGGGAGAAGGTAACTTAAAAGCCACCCTAATGTCAACTGGTAAAAATTGAATGTGAAGATGTAATCACTAAAAGCTAAATCTGCCCTAACAAGGAGACACATTCTGCAACATAATTCTCCTTACAGAGCATGGGCAAGTGATCCACCCCAGAATGAGCAGCATAGATCAACTGCTGCAGCATGGATGTTATGAAAACCCTATACTGAAAAGAATTAGGAGGTGTGGGGGCTAATTGGAAAGCCCACTCTCCTTACCAAATTAATGCTGGATAAGATTGTGTCATTGAGAAAAGTAATTTAGACGGAATAAGGAAAGTAGGACAGACATTGGAAGGTTACTAGAAATGAGAAACGTTTTCTTTGGAAGAACGAAGCAAGTGATTTGAGGGTATGCGAAGGTGAGAAATAACTCTGTGGGAGAGTGGAAAGGATTAAGCGATTGTTGTAATATGTGAAGGGAAACCTGCTTTAAAAATGACTCCGTGTTTCTTGCAGCCTCTTTCGATAATCCAGGCAAAGAAACAATCAAATTTAACTATTTGGCTACAGACACTTTGTTAAATCTGCAAAAGGAAAATAAGGAATTCGATTGACACTTAACTGGTTAACTGTATAAAAAAAATGAAATCTATACATTCAATCCTTAAGGTTAAATTTACTCTTTAAGAAAACAAATCATTGTTTTAAGAATCCAAGCCCTGAAACTTCACTGTGTCTCTGTTCAAGGCTGAGTTGATAACACTTTTAACTTGCTTTCAGATCCAAGGTCGTGTGTGTCTGCAAACTGCCTGTCTGTTGTGGAGGGGGGGAGAGCACTGTCCCTCATAAGTAAGACTGTAAGATTATGTGTGATTCTTTTCAGGAAAAGAAAACCTTTTTGCTTGCTGGAATAGTAACTAGCAAGCACCTTGTTCTAAGAGAGTTTCTGTAGCAGTAAATCATTTGAAGCTTCACATTAAAAAAAAAAATCTGGTCTGCAGTACAAGAAGGAAACTGAGGCATGCCACTGTTGGGGAGGGCTAGCAACTCTAAGGTAATTCAAGGGAGTGGAAGGTCATGAGTACCGATGAAGCGCCCTTGTTCTCGGAAAATTGCAGCTCACTCGCACATGGAAGTGGTAAGGAACTAGCTATAACTGGTTCCCCCAACAGATCTTAGGCAGTATTTTAAGTTATAATGGGCCACCCCGACGGGGGTAGAAATGTTTTCTTGTCTTTCAGATCATCAGAAAGCGCTGGTGCCAGCTGAAGAAAAACAACAACAACAACAACAACAAAACCATGGTTCTGTGTCATGACATAATAAGTTTGTGTTCTGTCCAAGTTTGTCTTGTGTGTCTTAATTGTAATACGTATTGCAAATATTGTTGTGTATAGAAAATTGTTTTTTTAATGAAGAATAATTGGAGTAAAGCAGAAGCATGAATTTAAACAAAATTAATAATTGGGCCCAATCAATTGGCAACTCTAAATTCAGTGAAAGGATAATAGTTTGGTAATTGTTTAAGTTAGGAGAATGTTAACAATGTCTCCACAAGTGAACAAAAAATAACTGGAAGGAAGCAAGGAGTGCATCACGTGAACAGAAGAATGGGAGACGGGTACTAGCCCCTTCCCACCAGATTGGTTTTGCTTTAATGGCCATTGCTAACTTGCCCTCATTTGGATATCATCAACCAGGACTTTAAAGTCAAAATAGAGCCTCCCAATTGTGCATCATGCCCATAACAGACCCCTGTCCCAGAACCAGGACAACTGTCACTGATCCTTACCTTGATGATGTTCCACACTGGTATAGACCAGCTGTGTGCTAGACTGGCTAATCAAATTGGCAAATGCCTGATTAGGCAATGACAAGGCTTAGCAGATACCATAGCAGATTGGTTTGAGCCTGGAAACTCTGTCAGCAACACTTATGTCATAGCCCAGAAATTGTATGAGAATCCAGGCTAGTAAATGCAGTAATATCCAGTGCCCGTAAAGGCCTAGACACCAGCCAAGCTAATCAAGTGATCCTAAATAGTTTGAAGGATCTGTCCAGCTCTGTGTCCACTTCATTAGACCTAACCTGATATTTGGACCAGAGACTAATTAGATTGTTAAGTAATGGAACTAAATTAAAGAAATTAGAAGGCCAGTATTGAAGAATAGGGTAAACTTTAGCCATTACCACCCAGCCCTTATAGTGGTGAGTCCCCATCTCCACCATGCCTATCCATAGAAGTGGGGAAGTAGAGAATCCATGAGGACCCAAAGGCCCACCTGAACAGGGCATAGTATAACCATTTGTTTTTGGCCCCTCTGGGGATTCCTCACTCAGATCAGATCAGAACGGTAACCGCCCTGCCTGTACCAAAGCAGGAGCATATAGATAGAGTCGAGGGCATTGCTTATTCTGAAGGTCTGGGAGCCTCCCTATACCCAGAGATTGTTGCACCCACTTTGATAAGGACATTTTATGTACCTGCCCATTTAACTTCATGACGAATCTGCCTAGGTTTGATGTGGTTGTCTCAGAGAAAAAAAAAACATCGAGCTGGTCCAAATGAACGGTACCTACTGGTGTTTGACTACCCAGACAGATCACTCCATCCTGCCCCTCCGTCTGTGTGCGTAACAGCCCCTCACCAAGCGGCCTGACCGTTGATGGAATGCAGCTCTATCGCACTTCGGCAGTGGAGGTAACCTAACATGAGATCCTGAGTGGCACGGCGGAAGTAAGTACCAAGAGGAGGGTTTACTAGCCCTGCAGGCAAAGATCAAGGAGTTGGTGGCCAATGCCCAAAGATATATTGGGTCCAGCCGTCTGAGGTACACACAGATAGGGAAACACCGTGGACCATGCCAAACCCCTGCCTCTGCAGCACTCAACCAGGCAGTAGAGGTCAAACCTATAATCATGGGCAGTACCAGTAAGGCGATGAAATATCTTGAGGATAGATTTGAATAGTGTTTGCCAAATTATGTGGGGAGTTTTAATTTTAACATTTATTAATAATGCTAGTGCTGTACCGGCACTTCCAGAGTAAATTAAAACCCCTTAAATTGTTGTATTTAACCTAGTAGATTAAAGAGAACCCCAAAGTCAAGAGAAAAAAACTATAAGAGTAAACTGAGGCAGTCCATGATATCTTGCTGAGAACTGAGAAACTTAAATCATTAGGTCAGCCTGAGAAGTATACAGTACGGCAGTTACTGTAATCCTGGTTCCCCTGGCAACCACATTCCAAAAGGGCCTCACTTTGATAAGGCTGGTACCAAACAACCAAACAACCGCGCGGGATTGTTTTTACAATTTGCTTTATTTCTAGGAAATAACCTTGGTTCCAAAGGAGCTAGCTGGCTTTTACCTCAGAGAATAGAGACTCTTATGTCCATCAGCAAAAGACTGCTCTAGAAAGACCTTTACCAAGTTTTGCTAACCACCAACACCGCTGTGAAGTGCCAAGAACTGACTGTTGGCCAATGCTTCTCACTGCAAAAAGATCCC